CACTGCACTCCAGTCTGGGTGACAGAGTGAGACTCCAACTCAAAAAAAAAAAAAATCTTATCTTCTATCATGTGAAACAGTCACTGATATGCATTGCAGGTTCATTGATACATGTTGTACAATTGTAATTTATTTGACATCTTCCACCTGGTGTATTTCTATTCAGTCAGTGGGGTTTCGTTTTCTTCCTCCCACATTAATATGTAATTTATTGTTCAGTCTGTTCAAAGATGAAGTGGAGGCTGGGTACAGTGGCTAGCACCTGTAATCCCAGCACTTTGGGAGGCCAAGATGAGAGGATTGCCTGAGCCCACGGGTTCAAGACCAGTCTGGGCAACTTGGCGAGACCTCATCTCTACAATAAATCATAAAATTAGGTGGGTGCAGTGACACATACCTGTAGTTCCAGTGACTTGGAAGGCTGAGATAGAAGGATCACCTGAGTCCAGCAGGTGAAGGCTGCGGTGGCTGTGAGCATGCCACTAAACTCCAGCTTTGGTGACAGAGTGAGACTCTTTAAAGAAAAAAAAGATGATGTGAAAGGATGCACTCATGATTCCAGAAAACCACTTCTCAACTGATTAATCATATCTCAGTGTACATTCTGTCTTTATTTGGTTTTTGGTTTAACTTGAATGGAAAACTTCAAGGAAATATACATGTTTAAAATTTTGTGCTTGTTTAAGTTTGTCCTGTATAATCACCAGCAATCTCTGTGTCTACTGTGGGGGGGACATCGAAGTGGTTTGCTGGATATGATGTCCCCTCAGAGTGTAAAGGGTTAAGTAATTTTTTTTGGAGTTGGAGACTCACTCTGTCGCCCAGGCTGGAGTATAGTGGCACACTCACAGCCACTGCAGCCTTCACCTGCTGCGCTCAGGTGGTCCTTCCAGATAGCTGGAACTACAGGCATGCGCTACCACATCTGGCTAATTTTTTGATTTATTATAGAGATGAGGTCTTGCCAAGTTGCCCAGTCTGTTCTTGAACCCATGGACTCAGGCAGTCCTCTCACCTCGGCCTCCCAAAGTGCTGAGATTGTAGGTGCGAGCCACTGTGTCCAGCCAGGTTAAGTGATCTTATTGCCACCTGGGCGCAGTAACTCACACCTTTAATCCCAATGCTTTGGGAGGCTGAGGTAGGAAAATTACTTAAGGACAGAAGTTGCCAGCCTGGACAATATAGCAAGACCCCATCTCTTCAAAAGTACCTGCCTTGGCCTTCTAAAGTGCTGAGACTACAAACTTGAGCCACCAGGCCCAGCCCTGTATTTGAGTTTTTTTTTTTTTTTTTTTTGAGCCGAAGTCTCACTCTTGCCCAGGCTGGAGTGCAGTGGCATGCTCACGGCTGCTGCAGCCTCTACCTGTTAGGCTCAGGTGATCCTTCCGCCTCAGCCTTCCAAGTGACTGGAACTACATGGAGTTTTAAAATAGAAAACTATAGACTTTTTGAGCTGACATGTGATTGCAGTAGCAAGGAAACAAACCAAAAAAAAAACCACAAACCCCTTTTTGTGCAAAGATTCCTGAAGCCCAGGGAGGTGGATGTCTTGCCCAGGCCCACGTGTTGGGTTTGCAGTCTGTTCAGGGCTCCCGGGTGGCTGCTGCTCCTGCTCTACCATGCATGGGTCCTGGCCAGGTCTCGAATTGTTTCGGTCACTGTATGTCTACTCTTTCTACTAGGTTGAACTTATTTCCTCTGACAGGACGATGCTTTATATTCCTTGAATTCCCAAGTTGCTTGCGACTTTGGTTGCGTGTACCTCATAAGACTTTGGCCTTGGGTTTCCTATCAACTCGTGAGCCCACTGAGCCTTCCATGTAGAGGTACATTTGACCTTGTGTGGAAGCAGTCTAGGTCAAGTATGTTCATGCTGGGGCGTTTTCATAGTATGTAAATTTTCATATATGTAGATAAGGTTGAACAGTGCCATTTTCTACCTGCTTTTCCTAGATTTCAGACTTTGTATGAATAGCTAAAGATTTGCCATTTAAAACAAAAAAAGGAAAAAATACTAGTTCATTGGTGGGAATACAAAAAATAAAATATTCTGATATTGAGACAGTTGAACCTGTCACTTCACTAATCAATTTGATGATTTCTGCAGGAGCAGTTTTTGCAAGAGAGGATCAAAGTGAACGGAAAAGCTGGGAATCTCGGTGGAGGAGTTGTGACTATTGAAAGGAGCAAGAGCAAGATCACTGTGACTTCCGAGGTGCCTTTTTCCAAAAGGTATGGGAAGGAGGGGCTGCGCGGACCCCGTGCTCAGAGTCCACCCTCTGCCTGGACGGTAACTTGCCACCTGTGGAATAATTTGTTTTTTGGTTGCATCTGTTACTTTCTGGATGCCCAGTGCAAGAGGCAGAGAAAGAATGAATGTTGTCACAGGAGTTAACAATATTCAACTTCAGGTAGTTTAAAAATTTTGTCTTTCACAGGCTAATGCTAATGTATTTAAGCAGTAAGGTGCTTGGACTTGATTAGTCTATCTTATTAAAAATAGAGATTTTTTTTTTCTGTTTTTGAGTTGAGTCCTCTCTCTGTCACCCAGGCTAGAGTGTAGTGGCATGATCACAACGATCATAGCTCATCGCGCTCTCGACCTCCTGGGCTCTGGCAACCCTTCCACCTTAGCATTCGAAGTAGTTGGGAATACAGGAGTGTGTCACCACACCTGGCTAATATTTTTTTTTTTTTTTTGAGTCAGAGTCAGTCTGTCACCCAGACTGGAGTGCAGTGGGATGCTCACGGACACCCCATTGTCAACCTGCTGGGCTCCGGCGGTCCTTTCACCTCAGCCTTCCAAGTAGCTGGAATTACAGACGCATGCCACCATGCATGGCTAGTTTTTGCGATTTATTGTAAAGATGAGGTCTCGCCGAGTTGCTTGGGCTGATCTCAAACCTGTGGGCTCAGGCAGTTCACTCATTTTGGCCTCCAAAAGTGCTGGGATTAGGCTGAGCCACCGAGCCCCGCCTAATTTTTTATTTTTTTGTAGCAAGGAGGTCTCATTATGTTTCCCAGGCTGGTCTCGAACTGTTGAACTCAAGAAATCTGCCCACCTCAGCCTCCCAAAGTGCTGAGATTATAGGTGTGAACCACAATGCCCAGCTTGTTTTTATTTTCTTTTTTTTTTTTTTTTGAGTTGGAGTCTCACTCTGTCGCCCAGGCTGGAGTGCAGTGGCACGTTCCCTGGCCACCGCAGCCTTGACTTGCTGGGCTCCGGCGATCCTTCCACCTCAGCTTTCCAAATGCTGGAACTACAGGTGCGTGCTACCACACCTGGCTAAGTTTTTGATTTATCGTAGAGATGAAATCTCGCCAAGTTGCCCAGGTGGGTCTCGAACCCGTGGGCTCAGGCAATCCACTCACCTTAGCCTCCCAAAGCGTGGGATTACAGGCTGAGCCACCAAGCCTGACTTGTTTTTCTTTTTTGATTCAAATTCTTTTCCCTTGTAAGTGCTTCTAAGTGAAGTACTTGTGATCTGCCTAGCTAAGTGGTTGTATTTGTGGTGAAGGAGAGTTTGATACAATGAGACAGGTGCTGCTGTAGGGTCCTCAGGATATAGAAAACATCCAGCTTGCTGGGTTTGAGCAGAGTCCCTGGGGAAAAGCCTGTAATCCTCCTGAGGCTTGTGTACCAGCCTAGTGGGAACGTCTCCTGGCACCTCTTCACTTTTCCCAGTTTTTGTTCTTTACCTGGTGGAGAAGGGTTCTCCTGTAACATTACTATTTTTTTTTTTGAGTTGGAGTCTCACTGTGTCGCCCAGCCTGGAGTGCAGTGGCATGTTCACGGCCATCGCAGCCTCGACCTGCTGGGCTTAGGCGATCTTTCTCCCTCAGCCTTCCAAGTAGCTGGAACTACAGATGCACGCCACCACACCCGGCTAGTTTTTGTGATTTATTGTAGAGATGAGGTCTCACCAAGTTGCCCAGGCTGGTCTCAAACCCCTGAGTTCAGGCAGTCTTCTCACCTTGGCTTTCCAAAGTGCTAGGGTTACAGGTTGAGCCACTGTGCCTGGCCCTTTTTTTGATAATAGTTTTTTTCCCCTAAAACATTCAAGGTGTTCCTCATCTAAAACTTTTTCTTCCTTGCCTGTGAACTTGTGCAGATTTTTACCTGATTTTTTTTTCTGTTCTCTTAGGACATTTTTTTTTCTTTTAAGTCAGGGTCTTATTCTGTCACTCAGGCTGGAATGCAGTGGCATGATCATGGCTCACCGCAGCCTCAACCTACTGGGCTCAGGCGATCATGCATCTCTCCTTCTAAGTAGCTGCGACTACAGGTGCCTGACACCATGCCCAGCTAATTTTTTTTTAATTGTAGAGACAAGGTCTCAATATGTTACCTAGGCTGGTCTCAAACTCCTGACCTTGAGCAGTCCTCTTGCCTCAGCCTCCTAAAGTGCTGAGGTTATAGGTGTGAGCCAGTGCACCTTGGCCTATAATGAAGATTTATTTAAACTACCTGAAATTTTGAATTAAACACCTGAATCTGAATACAATATGGTAGAAATAATTGACAAAAGGATACTTTTTGAATGGAACCACCAACTTGATGGATTTTCATATAGGGAAAAGTGGATTGAGTTGCACTGAGGTCTTCACCTCTATGTGGAGGTTGCTTTGTTGGCCTTGGGGCACCGCGAAGCAGTGCTCACCTCTTGGAGATGGTGCGTCTGTTGGTTTTGGGTCTTGGCTGATAGGCCAGGGGTTTGTCTGCACCTCATTTCGTCCCTGTTACTGTTTGAAGAGATGGTAAGTATCACGAGTCCCGTTTTACAGTGGGAGGAAGATTAGTTTGTCCAGCAGTGGGTTTGTGAGTCCCTCTTCCCTTCATGGCTTTGGGAAGATGCAAAGTACTAACCTCAGGACCACATGAGCAAACAGGAGAGAAGAAACAAGACAGGCCTATGTCATCTTTTTTAAGAAATATTTTTTGAGCTGGGCTTGGTGGCTCAGCCTGTAATCCCGCACCTTGGGAGGCTGAGGTGAGTGGATTGCCTGAGCCCGCGGGTTCGAGACCCGCCTGGGCAACTTGGTGAGACCTCATCTCTACAATAAATCAAAAAAAAAAAAAAAATGAGCCAGGTGTGGTAGCGCGCGCCTGTAGTTCCAGCTACTTGGAAGGCTGAGGCGGAAGGGTCGCCAGAGCCCAGCAGGTCGAGGCTGCGGTGGCCGGGAGCGGCCACTGCACTCCAGTCTGGGCGACAGAGTGAGACTCCAACTCAAAAAAGAAAAAAAAAAAAAATATATATATATATATATATATTTTGTAGAGATAGGGTCTTGCTACATTGCCCAGGCTTGTATTGAACTCCTGGCCTCAATTGCCTCGGCCTCCCAAAATTGCTGGGATTATAGGTGTGAGCCATCATACCTGGTCTTTATATCATCTTTATGTAGTCAGCCTGTGGGAAACAAAAGCCAGTTACTGTCTTTCTATAAAGAGGACGTTTTTGCTTGTTTTTTGAATCAGTCTCACTCTTGCCCAGGCTGGAGTGCAGTGGCATGATCATGGCTCACAGCTTTCGCAGTCTAGACCTCTTGGTCTCAGGCAATCCTTTCGCCTCAACCTTCCATGTAGCTAGGACTACAGGTGTGCACCATCATGCCTGGCTATTTTTTTTTTTGGTATTGGCATAGAGAGAAGGTCTTGCCAAGTTGTCCAGGCTGGTCTCGAATCCCCGGGCTCAGGCAATCCTCTCACCTCCGCCTCTCAAAGTGTTGAGATTGTAGACATGAGCCACTGTGCCCAGCCAAAATGCAGATTTTTGAATGAGCAGTTTGCTGTGGTGGCTATTAGCTCTCACCCAGGCTAAGGCCGCAGTTGGGCAGACAGGTAAGAAGTCTTGAAATGCCTTCTGTGGGAGTGAGTGCCGTAGCAGGGAGGCATCCTGACTCTACATGCTGGATAGTGAGCATCACATAGCAAGAGCGAGAGAGGGTAAGCCTTGAGAATCTGAACCCAACAACCGCAAAAGCAGTTGTGATTTGGTAAAGTGATGTTTGTGAGGTACTTGGTGCTCATTGGAAACCATGTGATTCAAGTGAAAGGGATCGAGATGACATGCTTAGCTGTCATATTGCTACCGTGCTTTCTTCAGTGGTCACTAAACATCTTTTTTTTTTTTTTTTGAGTTGGAGTCTCTGTTGCCCAGGCTGGAGTGCAGTGGCACGCTCACAGCCGCTGCAGCCTCGACCTGCTGGGCTCAGGTGATCCTTGCACCTTAGCCTTCCAAGTAGCTGGAACTACAAGCATGCACCACTATGCCCGGCTAATTTTTTTTTAAATTTTTTTATTGTAGAGATGAGATCTCACCAAGTTGCTCAGGGTGGTCTCAAACCCTTGGACTCAGGTAATCCTCTCGCCTCTGCCTCCCAAAGTGCTGGGATTATAGGCGTGAGCCACCGTGCCCGACCACTAAACATCATTTTGTAGATGTTTTCTGTGATCTCATCTTTATTGCCAAGTTAGATGGCATTCGACTGATACTTAACTTCTGTTGGAGCTTGACCGTGTTATATTCGCCTAATCTTGGCCATTTTTGAAGCATGGAATGATTCTGAATGTGTGGGTTTTATACAAGTTAGAATGATGCAGAATGCAGGAAGACCTTTTTTCTGGTGTAGTTCTCAAGTGTCCTTTCTCTGCAGGTATTTGAAATATCTCACCAAAAAATATTTGAAGAAGAATAATCTACGTGATTGGTTGCGCGTAGTTGCTAACAGCAAAGAGAGTTACGAGTTACGTTACTTCCAAATTAACCAGGATGAAGAAGAGGAGGAAGATGAGGATTAAAATTCATTTATCTTCAATATTTTGTATGAGTTCTTGAATAAAACTTGGGAACCAAAATGGTGGTTTATCCTTGTATCTCTGCAGTGTGGATTGCACAGCGAATTGGAAGTCATGGTAAAGGGCCTCGCTTGGGCTGCTGCTCAGTATTGTAACTAGACTTTTTTTCCTGATTGAAAATGTCTGTCCTCGTGGTAGTAATACCAAAATAGGAGGAGAAGTTGGTCTTATGGGAAGAACAACCGTGGTGCACTTAGATGGGGTTAAGGTATGGAGGTGTGAGCTTCAGTTAGTCACTGTTTTATTTTAAAAAGCGTGGCTGTCAATTGTACCTCGTGCTTTTCTCAGAGAATGATTCAGGAATGCAGTGGGCTCATTCATTAAAAGAAAAGGGTGATTTCTTTCTAACGTTCTCTGTGGGAAAATGGTAGTGTCAATAAAATGCAGGTTTCTGGGCCATTCGTCTTATTTTCATTTTTTGGTAATAAATTACGCTTGCCGCACACAATGATGTATGCTAATGCTTTTCTCCCTGTAGAAATAACATGTGCTCCTTCTGCATTGCTGCCTAGTGGACCACCTCCATGAGGGGCTGACTGTAGAAGTCCCAGACTCTAAATGTACAAAAATGAATTTGTAAATAATCATTGTTACTTCATCTTTGCAACAGACTGTCGCTTTGGTCTCCAGCAGGGGGAGCTGGAGGAGCAGAGCTTCCAGATGTGCCTCCTGTGTGGGGCGCCCAGTGAAGGGGGGAAGGAGAAGGGACGAGGAAACCGCTTGTGGGGGGGGCGGTGCCCACTTAGGCCATGACTGGGTGTAATGTCAGAGTCTTCTACAAAGTGCCATGGCCCGGTCGGCGCAGAGGCCGGGAAGACAGTTGCAGCCCGGAGTGACTGTAAAAGAGACCCTGATGCCTGGTGGTTGCCCTTTTGAAATCCCAACAGTGATGCAGAAATGTCTGCCTGTTTTAGAATTACAATTCATGTTTTTGACAAGCTCACCTACAGCTGGGTTCCACACCTGAAATTGTGGTGCTCTGTGAGTTGCATAGCTGGAAATTAAATGTTCAAGCTCTACCTTGGGTCCAATTTAACACTTGGTACTGTCTGGATTGAATTGAACATGTTGAGGCCTGGCAATTTCACTTGTGGTAGAGGCTCTAGCGTTTTCTATTTCTATGCAAATTTCTTGAAGCCGAATTGCTTGCATATTTCTTGCTGCCTTCACAGAAGGAGGTTTCTTCAGACTTCACGGAGGCATCAGTTGCTCTTTGACTAGGTCCCTTATGTGATTATGAACTTTATGGTTTTGTGGTTTGGGTTTGCAAACTTAAGTGTTTGTTGTATTCATGTTCCCATGTAGTAATTTTAGTTTGGTTGTGAAAAACCCTGGGGCTGAAATTAGTGGATAATCTTTTTTTAAAAAAAAAATGAGCCCCAGATTTTAAAGCTTGTAATAAAAATAAAACTCATTTCTATGCTTTTTTTGAACTCTTGTAATTGAGTTTGGATCACATTTTCTATTAAAGTGGCTAACACATGGCTACTATTTATTGTGCAAGGCTTTTTTTTTTTAAAGGACCGGTATGTTAATCTGTTTAGCAACAAGAACGTTGTCCTCACTGATGAGTTGCTAAACCGACCTCTATTAGGTTTAGAAGAAAAGTCCCTGGTTTCTGCCTTTCTCACCTTAGCAGTGCTGTTTGCCTCAGTGAGGTCCTGGAGTTGGCTGTAACTGAACTCTGAAGAATTCCCTCACATCTGCCTGGTGAAGCAACTTTTCAAATATGCTGTTTTTTGCGGGGGCAGGTATGAGGTGTGTACTTGAATTTCATGACACCCATCACACCAGCTGTGCCCACAGCTGTTTTGAGTTGGAATCTCACTTTGCTGCCCAGCCTGGGGTGCAGTGAGTGGCATGCTGCTCAAGGCCACCTGAGCCTTCAAATAGCTGGAACTGCAGGCATGCGCTACCACGCCCAGCTAATTTTTTGATTTATTGTAGAGATGAGGTCTCAGTATGTGGCTCAGGCTGGTCTTGAACCTGTGGGCTCAGGCAATGCTCTCACCTCTGACACCCAAAGTGCTGGAATTATAGGCGTGAGCCACCACAACTGGCAAGCACAGTACAATTTTTAGACAAGTTTCCTCCGTCTTGCTTCAAGCCTCACCTGCCTGATCTGAAATAGTTGAGGCACAAAACAGGTTTGGGTCATGGAGAGTTTCTAGCTGTCATGAAGTAGGAAGCTGGTCCAGTCTTGGCCAACTCTGATTCCCACATACCCTCCCTTTCCATAAGTCTGTTGGTGCAGCTCTGAACACGAGACAGGTGCTATGTGCTAGGATCTAGTCGCTTTGAAGGGTTTAAACGTTTGCCCTTCACAAACCTCTGCGACTCCCTGTCTCTTGTGACACTGGTGAAAGTGTTTTTCTGAGCACTGTTAAGTCTCAGGCCTCTTCAGGAATGGCCATGTGTTGGGCTCGCAGGGCCTGACTGCTCACCAGTGTGCTTGGCACAGAGGATCAGAAGCCTGGGGGCGGCCAGAGTGCCAGCATAACAACTGTTAAGACATCTGGGGATATCTGGAACTCGGCCATTTGAGGGATGTGACGCTTGAGTTCCTAGAAGGGTGAGCAGGACCCCAGTGACAGGAGGACGGTCCTACAGTTGAAGTCGATGGTGTCAGGAGAGCTTGGAAGCTGGTGTTGATAGATGCTTTCCTCTCCTGTTTGTGCATGGGACTTATGCCCCCAAACTTGTCCTTTGTAAGCTGAAAGGTATGCTGGCCCCTCCTGGGTGTGGGCGTCCTTAGGGTGTGGGTCCCACAGATCTGCAGTACCCAGGGGACAGGCCACCTCCCCAGTAACCCTTGCATTGAACACAGGACTAATTGGGACTTGGAATTGGGGGGGTCAGAAGCCCTAGGGCAAGGACAGCTGAGAAGCCACGCAATGAGAGGTGGGCCAGCTCCCCTCAAAGGAGAGCCTGGGGGAGCTCCTGCCCGAGTCATTGGCTGAGTCATGGTAACAGGTCTGCGTTTAGTGGAATAAGCAGTGGCAGTTGCCTCTTGTTTTGGAGGGAGAAGGGAGAAAAGCGGCTTGGGGGGTCAGCCCTCTACCTGAAGGAAGCAGGTGAGGGCCACCTGTTACACAGTGCTATGATGGTGCTGGTCTCCAGGAACAGAAAACAAAAAAATTTCGAATCCAGCCATTTTCCTCTCTTAGGGAAGGATTTGAGAATCCACGTTCTTTTTTCTAGGCTATTTTAGGCCAAGCTAAAACAGTCTGCAAAAGGCTGTGCTGACCAGCTGAGTGTTAGCTGCGACCATAGCTAGAACCCAGAAGGCACCCATGAAATGCTCTGAGGCTTGCACAAGTACTTTCTCAGGTTCAAGGCCATGGCCCAAGACTCAGAAGCTCTATCCTCCCCTGCAGCCCTAAGTGACTTGAACTCAGGTGCTGCAAGGTCCACACTTTGAGAAAAAGGCCTCAAGCACGAGGAAGGTCTCGGCACTGCAGAGGCCGCTGATCTCCATTTTGAGGGCCACTGAGGTCCTGAGTGATACGGTCTCACCCCTACCGAGGAGGTGGTGCGGAACAGAGTTTTGATCTTTGCTTTTCTTCTTTGATCTGCTTGACTGGCTGCAGGGTGGTGTAGGTACAAGCACTTCCCTGCCCTTAAGAAGCCTGGTGTGCCATCAGGTGGCCAGAACCATGGAGCTACCTTGTTAAAGGCACTGTTCACAGGCAGGACTTGGGGGGCTGGGGGAGCAGGTAGGAGCAGTTTACGTGGCCCAGGAATGGAACTTCAGTGTACTATGTGCAGGGGGTGATTAGCTATTTCAACGCTGTTCTTGGAAAAAAAATTTTTTCCCTAACGCTTTTATAACATATTAAACAATATTTTGATTTTTGAATTGTCACGGAGGTATAATTATGAGCTCTGTGATCAGCAAACATGAGGATCTTGTCTCCTGAAACTGTAACCTTAATGATAGGCTTGTTCTTGCAATTGCAGAGTTTACTGAATGCTCCACCTTGGCGGGGATCGCTTTTGACATCAGCGATTTTGGGCCCATTGTCATTAGAACGCACATTTAATAGTTTAACAATCATAAGGCCCACCTTTAAAAATCACTGAGGATTTGCAGTTAGAAGTCCACTTGTTCCCACCATATTTCAGTTGCTGCAATTTGTTTTTGGTCATCGAGCGATGTTACCTAGCTGCAGTCATTGGAGGAGCAGGGTGGAGAGAGGATGATGACTGATGAGCTTCTTGCCTCTAATTTGTTGCCAAATTAAGCAGTTAGAACTGTTCTTTCTTGAGTGATGTCTTGACTTTCTCAGCCTCGCCTTGGGAATTGGAGCCAAGGTTAATGGTGTGTGTGTGTGTGTGTGTGTGTGTGTGTGTGTGTGTGTGTGTGTGTG